GTCAATGCAACTCTCCCTAGCGTTGACTTTATGAGCCGGCCAATGATGCAACTATCTGACCATAGCCGTCATCAACGGCGTTCCTCTCAGGAGACAGGTGTGATATGTCAGCCCAGTAACTACTGACTAACGATAAACACCGTCACCCAGTAACTATGTTAACTCTATGTCTATGGGTTGTCTTTTGACCACCTACCTTGATGCTCCTCCAGCAGGAAACCATCGATGACGTCCCTGATGTTGTTCGGGTCAAAGGTCTCCCTGTGCTCCTGGATGACTTCGATGACGAAGCTGCGGATCTCCTCGCTGCACGTCACCACCTCCTCCAACTTCCGCCTGATAGACGGGATGTGCCGCAGGATTGGGTAAACGTTCAACGCCTGGGGAAACAAGCAAACGTCTTCAGGACATTATCATTACAACTTTCCACCAGTGCAGCAATGTCAGTTCCAACTTCAGTGTATCACATAGAGTTTACAAAAATGATCATTGGCACAAACTTCACAAACTTCATCGTATGGACGACATTCTTGCTGCTCACCTAAGAAAGACAGAAAAAGAACATAACAAGAATTTGGAGAACTCACACATCCATTAAATATTGAGATCTTTTCATGTTATTCTTTGCTTTCTGGTGCAACGTTATCACAATCCCTTTGCAATCTCTTTTTGCAATGCCCTTCTTTATCGTGCGAAACAGCTGTCAAGGAGATAATGTAAAAGCTGCCAGCTGTCAAGAAGGTCATGTAATGAAAACACCAGTGAACGAAGAGAGTCCCACCAGATGTTAAAGTGATTAATTACTTTCTTACTGAGATAGACTAAACCCAACCATATCCATTACAACGTAACCTCGTTGGGCAATAGGGAAACACACATACACACACAAGCACATACACAAACCCAAAACATTACCTACATGCTTCATAGAGGCAAAATCAAAAACACAGTCAGTCTGTTCCAAAATGAGGCGCACCTGAGCGGACGCATTCGCACGGAAGTACCGGTTTTGCAGCTTAATCAGTCGAGAGAAACGCTCGTCATCGTGGTTGAACCTCCTGCCGAACACCACGGAACTGATCACATTGGAAGCCGCGAGGCTTAGAGGTACTGTTGGGTCGAATGGCTGGCCCTGTTTATCCTTGAAAACTTGGACCAGATCCTGCGCCTCCTGCACGATGGTCGGCTCCAGACTCTGCTTCCCTGCCCCGAAGGCGTTGAGCCAAGTCAGAGCCACCTTTCGGGTCTCCTTCCACTCTGGACCGTAGGGAGCCGCTGTAATGCCTGGTGAAATTATTAGGATATCACAATGTTGTATTAGGTCTTTTGTAGTAACACTCTTTCTGTTAATGCGATATTCTCTTCCATTGTTGGTGTGCGTGTGTGTGCGCGTGTGTGTCTGTGTGTGTGTGTGTGTGTGTGTGTGTGTGTGTGTGTGTGTGTACAGGTACTGGAAATCATCCATGGTGTGTCAGAAGGAATGTCTTGTTAATGTTACCCTTTCCTCTGGTCGGTATGATTTTTCCCCACAGAAACAGGTCTGGACGAGACGAAAAGATGTCGCCATGTTTCTGCAGAGCCTCTTTCACAGCGTCCTGTCCGTTCAGCACGACTGCGGGCCGAGGGCCGAGCCACACACTGCATAGTCAGGACAGTTCAAATCAGAGAAGGCTGTCAGCATTGAGCTCTCAATCTTAGGCCACAGCAAGTAATTTTTAAGGCTTACCTCAGCGCGCGCATTAATTTTTGCTTGATTTTGGGGAAAAAATTGTTGCCTTCTGACAGTGGTGAATATGCCGAAAATGGGCAAAGATGTTGCCATGCCGGAAGGTGGATGGCAGATAACTATAAGAGAAAAGACAAGAAAAGGCTCTGATTTTATGTTTTGTTTCTTACTTTGATGCAGTGATATGTGATGCTGGCTGTGTATAGGTAATGTTCCCACTGAATCAATACCATTTGTACAATGATTGAGTCAACATTTTTAAATTGTAGTAACCTTGTTTTTTCGGCCTGCCTTGTTTTTTCTTCGCCCGTTCGGATTAAATTTGGAGTCTGCGGCCTACTTGCTTTGGCCTTAATTAGATACAAAAAGGACATTGATCATGACTCAAGTACCTGGATAGATTTTTAAAACTGTCAGACGTTTCAAGTAGTATCCATCACTTTCGTCAAATTTATATTCACCTCATTTACATATCGATTTATAGTTCATGGATATCAAATACCTGAGATTTCAAGTACAGATTCCGTTAGTCACTGACGAAAAATAGTGGATGCTACTTGAAACGTCTGGCAGTTTTCAAAATCTTGTTAGTTGCCTGAGTAACAATACCTTGTATATGACAATTTTATTGTTTGCGGGTAGATGGGAGGGGGGCACAAAATCATCAAAAACAGCCTTTTTCGTTATTTCTTGTTGAAAATTCACCCGAAGTTGAAAAACTATTTTGATAACAGAGCGATAATCAGTTGCCTGGTTGCCAAACCTGTTTAAGCTGCCGAGTCCCAAATATGCAAGTGCGTGCCAAGCGGGTTTACAGGGCAAACCTGCAAATAACCGCTAATGACCCTGCGTTCTGCTCTAATGACATCAGACCAAACATGGTGGAACGTGATTCGAATTCAAATTGTCTTGGGCCAGTGCAGACATGCGCCCGTATTCAAAAACAAATTCAAGCTCGAGCTGTCTTAAGGCAATGGAGCAATGCCAGGCACAAGAACATTGCAGACTGTCATAGATTATAGTAGTTTTACTAGCAATGACGTTCCTAAATTCTGTGTTAGATCAGTAGTGACATATTTACGTGAAGACGTCGCCATATTTCAGTCGCCATTCAGCGAAAACTCGATGTTGTCCCGGGGCGAGATCGCGCAGGTTACCGACGATCGGCCAGGCACGAGGCCCTGGTGGGTATCTCCTCTTCCACCTGACGTTTTGGACGTACAGGAACACTGCAAGCAGTGTCAAAACAACGACAAGGAGCGATTCCATAGCCATGTCTCTCACTGTTCAACAAGGTTAAAAGATGGTCCAATGACTGATAAGCTACAGGGCGTTGCAGGTTGTAATTTCAATTGTTGTGTGTTGTGACCGATCACAATTAAGAGCTCCAATGTGCATTCCGATCCGTAGCCTATTAATTCCATGGCCTAAGGGGGAAATTCTCACCACTTTTCAGGAGACGAGCTTTGGTCACTTTGTTCGTCACCTTTCGTCTTTTTAATACCTCAATGTCACTGATATTCTATTAATCAAAATTTATGTATTTTCGTGCCATCAGATTTTCTTATCCATAACAACCATTAATTATGCCAAAAACAGTTACTCAAGCAACTGGATATGATTTTGAAAACGTCAGACGTTTCAGCTAGTATCCACTAGCTTTCGTCAGTGACTGAGAGACCAGAGGGGAAAGCAGGTTTATATACACAACCTGTTGATTGATATGCAAATAAAGTGAAGACAAATTTTTGGAAGTCGAAAAAGGAACAAAAGTCAGACAGTATATAAACCTGCTTTCCCCTCTGGTCTCTCAGTCACTGACGAAAGCTAGTGGGTACTAGCTGAAACGTCTGACGTTTTCAAAATCATATCCAGTTGCTTGAGTAACTGTTTTTTGGCATATCGTATTACCTGGATGTCTAACCTTCATCGACAACCATTAATTGCCCCGTTTCAGACACGTACGGTTCTTCCATGCGCGAAGGACAGATGTGGTTAGGCCTCAGGCTTTATCCGGTGATCATATGATTAGGCCACCAGTAGCTGGTCTGATCAGCCTCAACTAGACACCCTTTTATATACGTTTCCTGATTCTTAACGCTATTTCCAACTTCATACCTCTATACAGATTTCTCTCTGTTACATCCAACCAACCAAACACAGACTACGAGTACATACCTCGCTAGAAGGCGAGTACATGCCGTGTTTTAGCTCTGTGACCTTGTGTCAAGTTTCTTTGTGGTATGTTCATGTGGTTAGGATAACAAGCACGACTACAATAGGGAGGTCGTTCTACTCGCATTTCTGCGATATGGGGGTTTAGTATTTGCCATTATCATATCTGCATAGGGATCTAGTATATGATACTATCATATCTGCATAAATACATGCTAGTAGCGTGCCTGTCTTTCAAGGCTGTCAAATAGGACTTGACATTTTAAAAAACTAGTGGCAAGATTTCCAACAAATTTGACTGCATTGTCATCTGACAAATTCTACAAAGTTTGCCACTCGGTTGGGTTAAGGCGCTCAAGGCTTGTATGAAATTAGTATTCTATACAAATACTTGTAACTTTCGATAACTTGGCCGTACCTGGACTAATATTTCCACAGTCTGGGAAGCTTAAGCACGTGTATAGCATAGAATACCAATACCAGGCATAATAACATTGCAGACTATAGTCACTGTGGTTTATGCTAGTTTCTTCACTTCACTGAGGTGAAAATGAGTACCTAGCTTCGGTTAGTGGTGTATAGGAGGTGAAATGGGGTACCGTGTTTGGGTACAGACACACCCCACGCACGTTTAAGAACACACCACACCTTTCGAAAAAGAGTATCGGCATGCCCCGGTGTGCGATGTTGCAAATGCTACTGTGTGGAAGTTGGTAATTCATTGCACAAGCAAAGCTAATATAGAACAGCCATGATACCATACTTCACCTCTAACGAGGATGACTAACAACAAGTTAATTTCAGAAGTGACGTATTTACGTGAAGACGTCGCCATATTTCAGTCGCCACTCAGCGAACACTCGATGTTGTCCCCGGGCGAGATCGCGCAGGTTACCGACGATCGGCCAGGCACGAGGCCCTGGTGGGTATTTCCTCTTCAGCCTGACGTTTTGTACGTACAGGAACACTACAAGCAGTACCAAGGCTACGACAAGGAGCAATTCCAAAGCCATGCTTCTGCCTTTAATGTCGTCACTATATCAGTGTTGGTTGAACCTGCAAAATTTAGGCCAGTACTACACATACAGATAGTATTTGTCAATGAGTGAGGGATCCGACCCCACCGACACCACGCGTACGCTCCACTAGGTCCTACCATGTCCGCTAATAAACCAGGATGTACAGCTGTACATCCTGGTTTATTAGCGGACATGGTAGGACCAAGGACATTATACACAGATAATGTGCAATGTCCTTGGTAGGACCTAGTGGAGCGTACGCGTGGTGTCGGTGGGGTCGGATCCCTCACTCATTGTACACGTGACATGCACGGTCGCCACCTTTAATATTACCTCGATGTCACTGGAAGAAGGAAAGTCATCTCGATCCAGTTTTACATCTCCCACTGGTCGTGTCAAAGAAGACAGAGGCTATATACAGTTGTCAGGAATGAGCCGAATATAACTCCAAAGAACTGTTTATTTACCCGTATGATCCTGTCACATACGTCATGCATGTGTACGATTGCCGTAGAATAGCAATATGAGGATATTCTTGGGATAGTCATGAATGTGTCAAGCTAAAAATTAAATGACTTGTTAGGACATCCTCCTCAGACTCAAAATCCAATGCGATAGGGCGCGCAAAAAAACAAGATTCCTACATTTTCACATTTTCAGATCTGAAACCCTGTTCAACAGGAATGTGACGAGAAAACAGGATGTCACACCCAACACGTCTTTTATTCCTGTATTTATTTATTTCTGGCATCGTTTTGTTAACTTGCCCGAAGACAGCTTACTTCGTGAAGCATACGATGTTTTATATTCTGGTAAACATGATTGGCTTAACCACGTAAATGACATTCTGAATTACAATGGTCTTGGACAATTCTGGACGAACCCCGGGTCATACCAAGTGGATACGATAACCAATCAATTACGATCCCGCCTTCAAGATATACATATACAAAAATGGTATAATTCTATTAGTAACAACGCAAAACTTTCTGTTTATACCGCATTAAAGGAAAATTATGGACAAAAACAATACCTCTCAAGTATACACAATCTAGATATCCGAAAGGCGATCACAAAATTAAGAATTAGTTGTCATAAATTAAACATAGAAATGGGTCGATACAAGAAAATACCAAATGACCAAAGGTTCTGTCCATTTTGTCCAAACATGATTGAAAATGAGCACCATTTTATAATGGATTGTACACTATACAATGATAAGCGCCTATAGCTGTTCACCTTTCTTTCCGCTTGTTCAATTGATTTCAATACGTTAGATGCTATAGATAAATTCAACTACATTCTCAGGGGAGATAACCAATACAGTGTCCAAATAGGAAAATACATTAAAGAATGTTTCGATCTTAGAGACCACATGTTAGAGAATAGTTAACCTTTATTGTTACATCATACATATACTCTGTACGTAAGATGACGTTATCCACACATGTATGTAGCTTTGTTAGATCTTTAGTTAAGTTGTAGAAGACCATACAAAAGTCTCTGTACTTTTTTGTTGTGTCAATAAAGAATCTATATAAGCACATCACACAAACTCGTCAGGTCAAATGGTCCTTGAAACATGGGTTCATCAGTCAGATGGTCACCTTTAAACTTAAGAAAGACAGGCAGTTAACAATTTAATTATTTCTTTTACTTTTGATTTTTGTCAATAGACATGTTTAGATATAAGTTATTTTGATATAGACAGTATTCAGAAAACATAACATACGATTCGCTGGTGACCTCCCAGCTATTCCCGAAATCGTTCCAGTTCAAGGCGAGTGTCCCATCCGGCATCAAATAGTCATCGCTCGCTATACCGTTATAGTTACCGCACAGTCCACACAGGTTGCTCTTGTAGTTACTTGGAATCTCCGCCTACTAGAGGT